CCCATGTTGGGGCACGGAGTGCAGCTGGCATCTTCCTGCACAACACAGCAAGCTAAGAGACATCCCGCGACTGGGATGCGGACGCGAATAGACATGCGGCAGTGAAAAGCGAAAAGGGACAAGCTTTGGAAGCTCCAGCGGCACACAATTTTACCTTCTGCCTGTTGTATATTATATTCTATCTATCTATCTATCTATCTATCTACCTCCTCTCTCTCTCTATATATATATATGTATAGATAAGTTTGTGAAAAAGCGGATGCCACCACAAACCTTTCGAAGTCGAAGCCCAAGCTTCCGCGATCTTCCGTGCAGCCGTCTCCCATGTCGGCTCGTTGATGACTATATATAATATAATATAATGTAATATAATATAGTATAGTACAATATAATACAATATAGTATAGTATAATATAATAAAATAAAATATATCATAATATAATACATTGATATATTTATGTTATATACATATTGTATATATACATATATATATACCTGTATATTCCGGGTTGCTCTTTTATCGCCTATTTGGGAATGGGCTTAAATATAAGCTCGTCTAGTGCAGAAGCGCCCAGTTCGAAAGGTACCAATAGGAATTGCCTAGTCCAAGTTGGTTTCGCCAATTCAGGAACGGTTTCGCCCAATTCCCCAATGTTGATGTCAAACTACAGTAGGTTGTCTTCATTGTATGTGTGTCATTAGCAGAATAGCCTTTTGGGTTTGAGACGAATGTGAATGTTCGGGCTTAGGGCTCTAGAGGCTAAGGGTCTGTGTGGGTCCTCGTCATTAGATTGATTAGGGTTTTGGGTTCTGGGGTTAGGGTGCATGAATTTCTTTGGGGTGCTCCGGCTTGCCAAAGCAGAGCTGGAATCATCAACCCTCTATACCCAAAAAGCTTTAAACTCCTAAACCCCATAAACCCTACCTCGGCCGCGCCCACGCCGTCTCTGCAAGCGAGCCCGTGGCTTTAGCTTCGGTACTTATCGACCTGGGGTTTAAAGGCTTAGATCAGCTTCACTTAATGACATTGTGCCCCGAGTACCGTTCAAGCTTCAATTGCTTGCGCATGCACCACATCAGGAAGGAGCTGAAGCTCCGAGCAGCATCCGAAGCCTAGAGCAGACTTTCTAGTCCATAGGTGGATGGCCTAAGCATGAAAGCATAAAGAAACCGAAATCTTGAAGACCCTGAACTGCTTGCCATGGGCACTCTGTCGGGAGCTCATCTGTGCTTACTTTTTTTCTTCAGAAGGGCCTTTGTCTTGAACAATAGCCGGTCGAAGACTCTAGCATTGCATGTTCGAGCGGACACCCTCCTGGCCAGCCTACTAATTCTGCCGACCATGTCTTCATTCGACTCGCAGGAAAACATCATAGGGTTTAAGATTAGTGGTAGTTTGAGCCGAAGCTGCCTCAGGAGGTCCTTGTTCACATGGTGCATGGAGTGTAGTTTCGGCTTCAAGCCGTAAGCAATCACTCCCGAACGAAAACTTTCAGCTGCGCAAAACTTATACCCACGCAACATCACTGATAAGTGATGCTGGGCGCGTTGGGCACAAAGGGGCTCCAACCAGAGGCCATGGGAGTGGACTAGATCGAAGAACACGATCGCCGAACTCAAAGTTTGCTGCATTGCATGATATATGCGTTTGGGGTCTGGTGGCATTGCCCTTAAAAACCAAAGGAGCCAATGAGTCACCAAAGTGGTATCCGACCCTTTCCCATTGAACCACGGAAAGCTCGACAGGTCGGGTGCCATCATGTTGAATTTGGTAAAAGAACGACACGACGCAGTCTTGTGATTAGCCAAACACCAAAGTTTGAAGCTTCCGTGTGCTCGCTCGAGTCTCGCAGGCACATTGCAAGGCTCGTCAGGTGAGCACGGGTCGTCGAATTTGCCGGCAAGCGCGAGGTACATGATGCTGGAACCAACCATATCTCGACCTAACCCTACTTTCCAACAATGAAAAAGATCGAGTTTAAAGGAAGCTTCGCCGCCGCGACTGTCGTGCGGGATGCTCGACAGGGGCGGCGCTTCATCCCATGGCGCCTGCTGAAACAAGCTTGACTCCCAAAGGGGATCATCGCAAACCTCTTCGAAAGGAATGCCTGGGGACCCCGCCATGCACAAATGGCATATGGCATGATCGTACTTCACTCCTACATTGAAATAGGAGCGGTTGAGAGCTCCAAGTTGGACATGGAACTTGAGGTCCCCCTTGACACCCAGAAAGCTAGCATAATATCGATCAGAACTGACCGAAATGCCTTGCTCAACAAGGCTTGTCAAGTCAGCTGCAACTTCAGCGAAGGCCTTTTGCAACAGACCCGGGAATTCTTTATAGAATTTGCATTGTAACCCGAAGCACAAGAACTTGGAAAGATAGCAATGACCCTTGCAATTCGTTTTCTGTGCCATTGCAATACGCCTTCTTTTCGAGGGTCTGGACTCGGAGCTAGCTTGTAGTAGCTCCGTGTACTTCTGCAGAACCGGGTCCGAGGCGCAGCTACATGCTTTCGATTTCCTGGAGCCGTTGTCGTCGGAGCCTAAGGGGCATTCTACGGTGCAAACCATAAAGTTGGATCTCTTCAAATAGCGACCCTCATCCCCGTGGAGTAGCAACGGAATGGTGGTTCGCATTCTGTGCGCCTGCTGACTCTCCGGCCCTGCAAACATGACATGCTCGGGGTGTACTTTCTTGTAATAAGCCCAGAAAGCTTCTAGTTCATCACCAAGGGAAGGCTTATTCCCTGACAGTAGGGTGGGATGTTTCTCAATCAAGTACTTGACCCAAGCACTTGGCCGGATCCACGGCAACTCAATCGAATCCCCATTTCTCGATGTGAACAGAAGCAGATCCCTAGGCACTTTCAGTGACAAGCCGAAGTAATTGAGAAGGTGGTCAACATCACGGGTTGCATTGGAGTCCGTCATCCCTCTAGCTACTTCGACTCCCGAGGCCTTGGATCCTTCCATTCTGGCGGCTCTCACACTTCGAGCGATGCTGGAGGCGGGAACCTTGGAGCTTTGGGTATAGGATGTTGGGTTTGGGTTGTTTCCGGGTTTGCGTTTTGGGGCTGGGGGCTTTAGGTTTCAGGTTTACGGCTTTGGGCTTAGGGTTTAGGATCTAAGGTTTCGGGTTTAGGGCTTTGGGGTGAGCGTTTAGGGCTTTTGTCTTGGAGGGTTTTGCTTTCGGGTTTAGGTTGTTTCCGGTTTGTGTTTTGGGGTTTGGGGCTTGGGGGTTTAGGTTTCAGGTTTAGGGCTTTGGGGTTAGAGGGTTTACAACCTAGAGCTTCGGGTACAGGGCTTTGGGGTATGGGTTTAGGGTTTATGTCTTGCTGGGCTTAGGTTTCGGGTTTAGGGCTGTTTTCTGGATGTCCAATCGTGTTTGGGTATTTGGGGTGGCTACGAGCTAAAACTAGACGCTAGTTTTTTGGTTGGTCCTTTGGTTCGGCCTTTCAGGGTTTAGGGTGTCGCTTTCTGGGGGCAAGGTCTAAGTCTAAGTGTGTCAGACAAATCAATGTGTTTGCAATCGGTGGCCATTGTGATTTGCTTGGGTCTTTGTAGAAAAATAACAATAAGGACTATACCTAAACCCCAATTCGTAGGCCAAGTCCTGGCCCAAGAACTATAAAGGCTAATAATTCTGCATACTTGGGCAGGGTCCAGGTGATGGCTAGTTCTCGTTGCAGTGGACATGGGTTTTAAAGTATTGTTTTAGGATTAAATTGGGTGCACGGGATCTATAATCCATGGGGCTTAATTTAGAGGCTTGATCTCAGACCGGGTGCCCAGCACCGTCCCCGTAATCCTCCGCCCACTGTTGCACCACTGGCCCGGGCACTGGCTCACCTGGCATAAAATTCTCTAAGACTAAGACCCTCTGGCGATCCCTAGTACCCTATTCCTTTGGACTTACCCACGAAGCCTGCATAAGGTTGCTGCTTACGAACCTGACACTGTAGAAGCCTGTCCCACTACAACCCTGTTTAGGCTTTGTAGGGTTTCGGGGTTTAAAGGCTTAAGGTTTGTAAGGTTTAGGGGCTTAAGGGGTTTAGGGTTTCGGAGTTTAAGGGTTAAGGCGGTTAAGGGTTTAGGAGGTTTGTTAGGGTTTCGGAGTTTAAGGCCAGGACGTGACAATCGGACTTATAAGGTAATACCTCAACAGCATAGCTTATGTTGACGTATTATTTTTACAGGTCCGGTTGACACGTCTTGTGGGTTAAGGGTTTAGGAGGTTTGCTTCATTCACAGCACAAGCAAAGTACAATGCCATCGTTTCTGCTGTGCCATTGCCACCTTCGAGATTGCCTTGCAAGGCTAATTATTGTGCCGAGCTGCAAGCATCAAACGAGCATACTTGGAAAGCATGCGCAGCAGGCTCCAACTACGCCAAAGCACAAATGTCTAAAACACATGGCTGTGGCAAACTCAAGAAGATAAGGAAACCAAAAGGGGCCAACCTACGGCTTACTCTTGGCTTTCGCCTTGCCTTTGGCAGAGGCCTTCACGGCAGGAGGCGGTTTCGGGCTACCTTTGGGTGCCGGCTTTGCACCACCTTTCTGGGCCCCCTTGGGCTTCTTGTGGGGCTGCGGGGTTTGGGGTGCCTCATGTTCAGGCTTCCTCTTGGATCTCGATAGCACAGACCTGGAATGGTCGAGGGTGTGACAAGATCTCACCAGAGAGAGAAAGAGAGAGAGAGAGAGAGAGAGAGAGAAAGAGAGTGAGAGAGAGAGAGAGATAGGGAGGGAGGTTTGTGGAGGTTTGTCGTCAGTCCTACTGAATGGCTACAATAAGCCCCGCGCTTTGCGCGCGGCTCCAGGAGCAAAGCTTGGATACACCTCTACAGCATACGACTACATGTCATGTATTTCCAGTAGGAAGTCTCCACAGAAAATAAGGTCCAGACATCGCACGCAGGGAGAGAAGCCGATCCTTTAGCTGCGTCTGAAGCCTTATTTAGAACCAGGTCCGAGCACACTACCGTGACAAAACGCCAATTAGCAGCAAAGGAGCTCAGTTGAATAACCGTCGATGATCCCAGAATTATACAGCCTAGTCAGCTCCGCATCCTCCTCGCGAAGTTTGTCGACGGAGCTGGCAACCTTCGCAAGCATCCTTAGTTGTTAAGGGTGTACAGCATGAAAGCTGTGCAAAATTGCTCTGCAGTCAAACTGTAGATAAGTGTCTTTTCGACCAAGTCAGACATGATCCGTTTCTCTAGCTCTTCCTGGAGGTCAACCAACTTGTTGATGCGCTTGTCCACCGCTGCAACAGCTTTGTCGTAGATCATAATAGGGCTGCTGGCCCTCTCAACATCCGGAAAGCAACTCAACAATTTCGGATCAACGCTCTCGGCCGGAGGCAACTTGGCTTGCTGGGCGTTGGAGCCAGCAGGAGCGTCGCTGCCTGAAGGGTCGAGCTTGCCAGGGGTTTAGGGTTTAGGGTTCAGGGAAGAGTAACTGTAACATCTCTAATACTAGTGCTGCTACTAGCCGCAACAATATCGGGAGAAGGGGCATGTAGAACAGTCGGAAGCTTTCTAGATTTGTTTTCGAGAACTCGGGGCATTTACTGATAGACTTACTTAAAGACCCTAAGCCTGCAGGTGTTGCAATTAGGGTTTTCACCTAGGTCTCGGGTGTGGTCTGCCTGGTTTGAAGTTTGAAGTACCATGGCAAACTCGGCTTGGCAACAAACGGGCCTAGGGCTTAAGGTTAGGGGCAAAGGGGCTCTAGGCTTGGTTACCCGCTCGTGGACACAACTCAGGATCAGTTGTGGTTAAGATTTGGGTTTTGGTTTTCGGAATTGGCAGGGGTGTGGCTTCTTCGGATCTTGCCGAGCTTGGGTTCATTAGACTGCAGCCATGAACACATGCTCCTACTTCGGGTTTTCTAGCTTAAGCTTTAGGCCCCTGAGAAGACCAGTATGGATGCTTGGATCAGCAGAAAGGGTCGCGTCCAGGATTCTAGGTTTAGGCTCTTGGGTATCAAAACCTTATAGGTCTTTAGGGTTTAAGGTCCAGGGGACCCCGCTAGCGATTGCAAGGCTCTGATCTTCTGTGCGAGTTGCTCTAACTTGTTAAGTTTAGTTAAGCTCGGGTCGGGGTCTGTTAGGGTTTTGGGTTTAGGTTTAGGGTTGTTTTAGTTTTGGGCTCTGCGAGATCACGGACGTCGAGCAGTTCGCTGAGTGCACTGTCCGACTTTCAGAGCAAGTGGGTGGGACCTAGACAGCCGACAGTCCGAGAGACGAAAGGCCCACACCAATCATCGACATGCTCTGTGGAGACAAGCCAAGGATGAGCCATCATGCATCAAAGCTGAAGGACCTCGACATGTACCGAGCTTTCAACACCGTTGACTCGGAACTCGAAAACCTCCACCGGAGCCGGCACTCCCGGACCCAAAAGAGGTTCTGAACTGGTGGGAGGACAAAGTTGTTGGTTGAGACTGTCGAGACCTTTACCAAAGCTTTCATAGACCACGGCTTTCACTCGGGCACTGGCTCGTGTGGCGCACTGCCCCTGGTGGCACACTGCCCCTGGTGGCACACCATCGCAGGGATTAATAAAGGCAGGTGGGTTAATGGGTTGGTAGTGGGTTGGTTGATGGGAAAGCAAGGCAGGTAGGTGGGTAGGTAGGCAGGGAGGCAGGTGGGTAGGCATGCATAGAGGGTAGGTGGGTGTAGGTCGGTGGGCGCTAGGGTAGGGTAGGGTAGGGTAGGGTAGGGTAGGGTAGGGTAGGGTAGGGCAGGGCAGGGTAGGGTAGGGTTGAGTAGGTAAGGTAGGTAGGTAGGTAGGTAGGTAGGTAGGTAGGTAGGTAGGTAGGTAGGTAGGTAGGTAGGTCCGATGATCCAAGAAGGTTTAATCTTGGAAAGAGAACATATGAAGCCCAGGCGCCCCAAACTTTACATCAGCATTTGATGGCCAGGGAGAGCATTGCTCAGTCTCCAAGCCCTAGACACTGAATCATGCAGTTCTCTAGGCATAATTACCAAACGTCGGAAGGAATCCTGAGCCCTGAGGCAAGACACTATAATCAAGGAGTCCTTTTTAAGGTTTAGGGTTTAGGGTTTGTGGTTTAGTTCCGGCCGAAATCCTGAAGCCTAAAGCAAGACATGATAATTAAGGAGCCCTTTTTAAGGTTTAGGGTTTGGGGGTTTAGTCGAAATCCTTTATCCCAAGGAGAGACACGATAACCCAGGAGCCCTTTTGAGGTTTCTATAGGGTTTAGGGTTTTGGGGTTTTAGTTCCAGCCGAATTCCTGAACCTTAAGCCAGGACAAATACCCCAACAGCCCTTTTTTAAGGTCTCGGGTTAAGTTCCGGCCGAAATCCTGAAGCCTAAAGCAAGACATGATAATCAAGGAGCCCTTTTTAAGGTTTAGGGTTTGGGGGTTTAGTCGAAATCCTTTATCCCAAGGAGAGACACGATAACCCAGGAGCCCTTTTGAGGTTTCTATAGGGTTTAGGGTTTTGGGGTTTTAGTTCCAGCCGAATTCCTGAACCCTAAGCCAGGACAAATACCCCAACAGCCCGACACTGCCTCCCCCCAACTCAAAATCACACTCCAGGCGGTTGTCGTTATCCTCGGCGGCTTCGTCGTACTCAATCACTTTGCGCACGAAGGACTTCTTGAAGTTCCTGCAGAGCGCGCTTAAAGGGCTTTTGTTTGCGTTTGCTCGGGCCGGGTGCCTCTTCTTTCCTTTGACTTTCATGTTGCACCAATACAACACATCGTCATCGTAGAGCGATTTTCTGCTCAGCACACGATATACCCTGTAGCTTTACATGCTCGCTCCCCACCTAATGTAGCCTTTGGCTTGGTTCTTCTGGCAATGGGCTGTGGCTCCATTGATGCGCTCCCTCGGTTGTTCAGCTTCTGCAATGTAAACGAGTCAAGACTTGACTAGACACAACACTAGTGGTAGCAGGGAATGCAGCACAGCGTCTCGGACCATCCTTTGTCCTGCATCTCTTCCTCCGTCAAGAACTCCCAGTCCTCATCTACCTCCACCTCGTCACCCTCCTCCGTAACCTTTTGAACCTTCCTCACAAACTTCTCCTTTGGTATGAAACCGCAGAGCAGAAACCGGTTTGGACACAGAACAGCATGACCGATAAACTCGAAACACGTTTCAAGGCAAGGCACGGCACTGTAGCCACACCTTTGGAAAATTTTGACAACGTTGGGACGTGTGTTTTTGTTCTTCCATTCCTTGACCAGGTCCTCCGGCACCAAGTAGGTCCCGTCCTCCCTCATCTTGAAGACCCGATACATCCGCTTGTAGATCGCATTCTCACTGAGCTCAACAAGTTCGGGGGGAGGCTGTTGGTCCTCAACTACACCTTCCTCTTCCACCTCCTCCTGCTCCATCGCACGTACAGCCCCCGGCTCCGCACAGGGCCCTTCGAGCCCCTGCTGCTGTTGCAGAGACTCCTGCGGGGGTGCAGCCATCCCTGCAAGCTCACGATGCTTTGCGAAATCCTTCCACTGTTCCGTGTTCCGAGGAACATCTTGCTCATCCTCAGGGATACAAGCAAAACGACAGGGAGCGACATACCGATTTAACAGTGTTTTTGACCTGTAATCTGGCCTCGGTAGCTTGGGCAACAGCATGCGAGAGATTTCTCGCAATGTTCGGCGTGGTAGGGGTGCCGTGACCTTTGCCTTTACCCCTCACATCAGCTAGCTTGTGTTCGGGCTTCGCCTCGGCAGGCTGGGGCTTGGGAGCTGGCTGGGGCTTTGGAGCTGGCTGGGGCTCTGGCACTGGCTGGGATTCTGGGGCTGGCTGGGATTCTGGAGCTGGCTGGGATTCTGGAGCTGGCTTGGATTGTTGTGCTGGCTGGGATTCTGGACCTGGCTGGGAAGCTTGGGCCTCCTTCTCTACCAAGGTAGCCGTCTCTGGGGTATCTTGAATCGTCTGTGTTTCCTGAAAACCATCTGGCCGCTGGATGCTGGGCGACTGCATCTCATCCGCCTTCGGGTTCACATGTTTCTGAATGGGCATAAGCCTAGTCCCAAAAGGAGACACCATAAACAGAACCGGCCTCAAGCTGTGCAAGCTCGTCCTGCATAGCTTGGAGCTCCGGGTCCACTTCGTCGCAACCGAGGAGCTTGCCAAGCTCCGGGTTGGCTTGTGCAGCTACAGCAGCCAAACCAGCCACAAGGGTTGACGAGGACCAGCTTCGGCTTTGCACATCGCCCGGAAGCATGGCCCCAACACAAAAGAACCAGAACCGACTACAGGCAAGGCCGGCTGACCATCTAACTAGATCTCTCAGAGCATTCGTGGGGAACACAATGACACTTCAACAAAGTGATCAGCAAGGGCCATGGTGGTATTTTAACAGTATTTTGGTATCCCGCCCAGTTGCGCCCCAATCCCGCTCAGTTGCGCCCACTTCCCGGCCAGTTGCGCCCACTTCCGGGTCTGTAAAAAACCTACCGAAACAGCAAAAAACATACAAAATCGAAAAAAAACCAAACAAAAGACGTCAGCAGATACAAACAGCAATCGATGTCAGCAGGTCCAGCAGAAACTGTAACAACACAGCAGAATTGTTGACTCGTACTGCTTTGGACAGATAATGAACAAAAGCCCTGATTTGGTACATCATGCGGTATGCTTCTTGTCTATGCATCTAATTATCGAATTAGCCGGAAGCCGTGCAGCTCCATCACTGTTTCCTTGGGAACAAGCTACGGAAGCTTTGAGGGATCCGAAGTCTTTTGCTGTTTCGGACATATAGAAAGGCATCGTACACAGCTGCATCATTCCAGGGATCGTCGTGGGACATTTCTGCTATCAGCTCACAAAGAGTTTTCTGCTCGATCACCTTGGTGCGTGACTGGGGTTTCAGGGTGAAGCCTAGGATCCGAAAATTGCATTAGAAGCTTTCCTGCGGCTGAAGGACCTCGGGTGGCTTCTGGCAAGAGGAGACGAAGGCAGGGAACCGGCGCACGATCTCGGCCGCGAATGCAGGAGTGTAGGCCCTTGGCTGCTTAATGTTTCGGAAGTTTAATGGTTAGGGTTTGGGGTGTGGGGTTT